TGTCAACAGCAGATTTCTTTGCAGTCACAAATCCTAGACCAGACATGTTTCCTGCATTTTGTCCAGCCTGAAGGATTTCTTCCAACTTGTCAGTTCCAGTTGTTAACATCTTGACAGACTTAGTCATCTGATCAAGTTTGGAGTTCAACATTAGAACTTCACCTTTGAGATGGCTTATAGTAGCAGTGTCTGCCTTCTTCTCAGCCTCCAACTTCACTATGAGCTTTTTCTGTTTCTCATTTTGCTGACAGACTTCAGCACTTCTGATACATAGCTTCTTGTAGGAGTCAGCAAGTTCTTAAAATGTCACTTCCTCATCACTAGAATCATTATCAGAGTTACAAACACCAGATAGTGCAGTAACTAGTTTAGCAGATTCTTCTTCAGAGTCACTTTTTGAGTCACCATCAGACCAAGTAACAGACATTCCTTTCTTTTGTTTCTTTAGAAAGGTAGGACATTCAGATCGAATGTGCCCATATCCTTCACATCTATGGCATTGGATTCCTCTGCTTTGATTTCTCTTTTCTTCAGACTTAGTTCTTCTGCTGGAGTCATAGGATCTGCTAATGTCAGAGGAAATGTTCTTGACATTTGACCTTGACTTTGGGTCCATTCTCTTGATGAGTTTGTTGAACTGCCTTCCAAGCATAGCTATAGCTTCTGATATATTCTCTTCATCACTCTCCTTGCTTTCATCTTCAGTATTTGATACAAGGGTTATGCTCTTGTTTTTCTTGTCAACATTGTCACTGATCCCCATCTCAAATGTCTGAAGTGACTCAATGAGTTCATCAACCTTCAAGTTGCAGATATCCTGAGCTTCCTCTATAGCAGTCACTTTCATTGCAAACCTTTTAGGCAAGGATCTGAGAATCTTTCTCACCAGCTTTTCTTCTGACATCTTTTCTTCTAATGCTTCTGAGGTGTTGGCAATTTCCAAGATGTTCATGTGAAACTCATGAATGGTCTCATCTTCCTTCATCCTTAGATTCTCAAATTTGGTAGTGAGCATCTGAAGTCTTGACATTTTTACTTTGGATGTACCCTCATGGGTGGTTTTGAGAGTGTCCCAAACATCCTTGGCCAGTTCACATTGATGTACTAGTCTGAATATGTTTCTATCAATTCCATTGAACAACGCATTCAATGCTTTAGAGTTACCCAGGGCTAACTCTTCTTCTTCTTTGCTCCATTCTTCCTCATGTTTCAGACTAGTCGTCCCATCTTTCCCAGTTATGGTGGGATGGTTCCATCCTTTGTCAGCAGCTCTCCAAGCTTTATTGTCCAATGACTTCAAGAAGGCAATCATACGAGGTTTTCCGTAGTCGTAGTTTAATCCATCCAGAATAGGTGGTATGTTCCCAAATCCTCCTTCCTTGTCCATAGCGCCAGAAAATAATATCCCTAGATCTCACCCAGAAAGACAGGCAGGGTGCCTGCTCTGATGCCAATTGAAATTCTGGCAACAGATACTTAATGTCACAGTGAATGTTATGACACCGTATCTGACAAATTGTACACAAACCAAATAGTAATTTAAAAGACAGTAAAGAACACAATCAATTGTTAACCCAGTTCAGTGTATAACAACACCTACATCTGGGGGCTACCAAGCCAGGGAGGAAATTCACTATAAGAGGTATTAATTTAGGAATAAACCAACCAGTTTATCTCCTTCACTTAAGACCTACCCAATACAACTTCAATCTAAGTCCTACTTAAACCTGAGTTCCTACTCACTCCCCCTCAATCACAGCAGTGATACTAATCTACTGATTAATAAGATTATGAAGACATTCTTCAATACACACGCTTGATTTTGCTTCAAAGCTTTAATCAAGAGACATAACACTCGTGCTTCAAAGCTTTGAGTGATAAACAACCCTTACAATCAAATCCTACTCCAAGTCCCTTATCAAGTGATAATTGCTTGGCTCACAGTAATTACTAAAACTATCACAACTACAAAATGCCTTATTGATCTTCTCTGAAAAGCGCTGCACACCATTAGGATTCGTGAGAAATATATATGCAGTCTATTCTTCATTTTGGGCTTCCATAAAAATAGCTAGGATTAACCAAAATTAACCTAAAGACTAGGTCTTGGGCTTTCATCATAACAGATTAGGGTTAAGCAAGGTTAACCTAATATCCACGTGAGCGTCTGATCTAGTCAATATACTTCAACTCATAATAGCACAACAGATTCCTGAAAATTCTCAGGAACAATAAATCTGCACAACAACTTGATCAGTACAGGATGTCTTAACATTGGTTATGACATCATGTATCCTGCTCACTGATTTTAGTAGAATTCAATACATATGATCATAGCTTAATCATCATGATATTCACTCATACTGAGTTGTTCCTGTAGAACATTCCTTCTGCAGAATTTGTCTTTATCCTAGAATGTTATGACATCAGTCATGACATTCGCAAATCTGGTTTTACCAAAAATTAATGCCAACAAGCAAACACTTACAATTTCTATGGATGTTTCTTAGTTTATATGTTTTTATTTACATTAGATATGGTGTATCTCGATGCTATCCCCAAATCTATTGTGTTTCAAGTTATTTCACCTCTCCTAGTGAAGGCAGTAGATATTCAGAACCATTTAAAAATGAACAAGAGTATGAATTTCGTGATGAGATGCGGTAGTGGATATGTCCAGAGGTCACCAAAATAGGATTTGGTGTTGTGATCGGAAGGTCCGATAATGGTTCGGAAAGAAGAAGTTCATTTCTAACATTGAGATGCGGAAGAAGTGGTAAATATAGACCTCCTCTCCAGAATGTGAAACGAGATGAAACTGGTTCAAGAAAATGTGAATGTCCATTTAAGTTTTGTGATTATCGGTTGGAAAATAATAAATGGAGATTTAATGTGATATGTGGTTTACATAATCATGATTTATGTGCAAAACTAGTCGGTCATCCAATTGCATGTCGGCTCTTACCGGAAGAGGAGGAATGTGTTTCTGACATGACATTGAATTTGGTACCTCCCAAAAACATACTTGCAACCTTGAAGCGCAAAAGACCCGGGAAAGAATGGAAGCTTGAGTTCATCAACCATGAGCTGAAGACGGACGCTGATTTATGAGCTATGTGGAATACTTTTTTCCGTTTAGAATCAAAAAATTTAATCGAGTTGGATCTGACTATCTCGAGATCGATCGATGATATTAACAAGATGTTGCAACGTCCACCTGGATGTTGAAGTGTAATGTTTGATCTATGTTAAAATTCCTTATATATTGCTTATTTTATGATATCAATGGTATTTTGATTTTGTGAAGTTGGTGTTTTTCATTTCCATTTTTCTGCAGTCTGCAAAGCAGTATTGCGGAAATACATAGTTGGTTTGAATTCGGAAATACATCTCCAGAAAAGTATGTGATTTAGTACATCTTTGGTGCGTCTCAAAGATGTATCTCCAGAATCTGAGGGCATTTAAGTATTTTTGTGCGGTGCGCTAGAAAGACATAGGGTGTGTTAAGAAACTCTTTAATTAAATAAGTCAAACTTAGACTATTAAAAACAACTTGTGAAACCTTATAAACGGGTCTATATTTTCATATATATTAAAAATAGTTTAAACATGCTCGTCTATATACATATATATTTGAAAAAAGGCTAAACATGTTAACCTATATATGTATATATTAGAAGAAATGCTAAACAGGTCGGTATATATATATATATATATATATATATATATATATATATATATATATATATATATATATATATATATATATATATATATATATATATATATATATATATATATATATATATATATATATATATATATATATATATATATATATATATATATATATATATATATATATATATATATATATATATATATATATATATATATATATAGGTCGGCCTATAAGACTTCTTAAGTAATATTGATTAATTAAAAATCTTAATAAGAAACAGACTTTTAAATAGGCTTTCAGACCCGGGTCTTAAAAAGGTCTGGCTAGGCAAAAAAAATCTATAATAGACCATAGATCAGGCTCGAACCTTTTAAGTTTATCGTAGGTTAGATTCATGTCTTCTAAAATCTAGTCTAACCTATTTCCACCCATATCCTCAACCACCCCAAAGTCTTAATATACTCACACTCTCCAAAACAAATATTTAACTCACAACACTCGAAAAACACTCTAAAACAAAAGTATAAGAGAAAATATAAAATGTCAAATACAAACTTAAAATGCTTTTGACTAATATATTATAGAACGAAAAACTTGAATCTTATATGTAGTTCTAGACTCTCTTCATTCACAAAACTAAGAAATATGAAACTTTTTCATCATGGATATTTTCAACCAACCTCAACACCAACTACTCAAATTAAAGGAAACAAACCAATATTGAAAGGATGCACTCATATAAGATCAATAAAATAATACTTAAAAAAGAACCTCCAATATTACAATGTATTGAAATTTTCACTAACATTCTCATGAAACCAGTTCACAATGTTGACCGACATGTACATTCACATTTTTGACTGAACAAAGCCACAATTACAAACAGGATAGTTCTTTGTCTCCCTTCTATACAAACTTTTTTCCATAAATTAGATTTTTTTTTTTAAGGTACATACATATACATAGTAATATTTCTCAAAAGACCATAACAGCCTCAACAAAAGACCAGAAAAAATATCCTGCACAATCTGCATGCATGCTGCTGTAGAATTTACCATCCAGCAATACACCTCCAACTCCGAGTTATTCGTTTCCTTTGGTATTATAACACAATTGTTTCTCTGCACGTCTTGATTTCTGCATTTTTTTAAAGATTAATTTGCGCGCTGATAAATAGATTCCGCCCTTAATCTTTATACACTGTTTGTTTTTTGTTTTATGAATCAACTTTGTACATCTTTAAGATCACCTATGCAATAGTTAGCACTCCTAGACCATATGTAATGTGGCTAGGAGCAATAATATATCAAAGAAATGGTCAATCTTTTTCCAGATTTTCATCTGAATTGCCCTTCGGGCTCTCCAACATATCACCCGAGTAAGATCCGTCTGGTTGACGAATACATATATTCAAGTTGCTCGATAGAAAGTGTTCCTAGATGGTAACATAAAAGAGAGAAACTGTCAGACAAATCAAAGGACAGGACTCGGGACCAATGTGTCAAGCCAGAAATCTTGTCATTTCAAGCAATTGAAGCGAATATATTACCTGGTCACTAGTATCTTGGCCTTCTGAATGAAAAAGGATTGGCCGACATCGTTTATCCTCATTCATTAAGCTTGAATTCTGAAAATGCATCACAAGTGCAGCCTTTCCTTGAATCCGTGCATATGCCAATGAAGCAACTTTTTCGCTATTAAACTTCTCCCATTTCTTCCCATTAAAAGCCTGCATAAATTTTAATGATAGAGTTCTTAAAATTTAACCAAGCATATCATACTTCTCGATACCAAAACAAGTGCAGTAATACAAGGAATTAATCAGAAATCTATCCGCGAGACAAAAATGTCACATTTAGGAAATCCTTAAATTACAAACTACGCAGGTGGTAGTTAAAATATAGATAGAAAAATATATCCTCAGACATGCAAAGGTATAGAATTTAAACCTTATAGAAGGCGACGATGTGTGAAGGAGAGACCATATTGATGAAAGCGTAACCGACATTACACTTATTCTGCAAGCAAAAACAGATATTAATAAATTAGTCATTGTGGAAACAAAACCAAAACCATAAATCTCTAATTGAAAAAGATACATAGGATGGCCGATGGGCGTACTTTAAAGTCAATTGGCAAGTAGAGGAAGTCATAAGTCCCCTGGTGATTCTCATCAATTGCAGCAAGCAGCATCTTTGAAGTGTACCTTAAAAGCAATCGCAACAGACAAAAGTCGTCAAGAAATTCATCTCAAGGATTTTGTTGGCAACACTAGGATATATGTTGAGTTGTTGTTCTTACTTGTTAGGAATGTTTTTAATCATTAAAGTAGTCCTTGTATCTTCACCACTGATGATTTTGTCAAGATCAAGCTGGTACAACTTCTTACTTTCAATTTGGTTCACGTTATTGTCAGGTCGCCGATTTCGTCCACGTTCAGCAAATCCTTCGATGCTAGACAGTCCAGGTCCAGCGTACAAACTATTTCCAATGAACAAGGAACCATGACCAGGTACGGACATCATTCCAAAATTAGGCGAACCAATTTCACTGGAAGTTACTGAATGGCCAATACCATGCCCGATAGATGGACGAGAGCCCATGTTCATCATAAAATTCCCATCACCGTGATTTAAATTCCCGAATCCAATGGAGCTCATGAGAGAGGTATCGGGTGATTCTGGAAAGTATTTGAAATTTCGTTCAAGAGGAAGGCCGGATGGAGCAGATCCTACATGATGATGGTGCTGGGAGCTAAGAAAAGGATTGCGATGACCTGTGTATGGAAAACCCTGCCTTTGGCCACTAGATGCAAATGGATGCCCAAGAGAAGTTGAAGACCAGGCAGATGTGTTTGAATTCTCCGAGTAAGGAGTCGGGCTTCCCCAAAGAAATTGGGGACCAGACAGTGTTCCAACACTCGATGAATTTGAATTTGATTCACCGAAAGCAGATATAGGCCTAGGACTTGCATTTACACTTTTTTCAGGAAAGGAGATAGAATGTTGAAAAGCTACTCCATGTGTCGATCCTCCAGAGCTGGCAAACATCTGATTTGAAACTCGTCCAGGGTCCTTACCGATCGGCGCAATTTTGGGAGAGGTCGGTGCGTGCGGGGAAAGAATTGCAGCCAATCCGGACAAATGGTTGATATTAATAGGGCTCGCATGACCCAAACCAGGGGACTTGCTGTAAGAACCTAATGGATTAGGTTCAACTGGACTACTAAATTGTGCCCAGCTACCTGCGAAAAAATTGCATATTAATTTTACCTTGTAAACGAAGATACCTATCTTCAATGAAATAACACGAGAAAACAAATTGGATTAGGAGGTATTTACCGGGAGGAGAACTGGCTATAGGCGAACCTACTTGAGTCCTGAAAGTTCGAACTTCATCTTGTTCCAGTTCTTGAGTCAGTTGTTGCATCAAGCTAACAAGAAGATGATCACAAGTTTTATACAAGTTTAACTATTATAGCATACAAATAAAGATATAACTGAACTTACTTTCTGCGCGCTCCACCAGGACGGCTAGGTTCAAGTTTTATGCGTTTGCCAGCAATGTCGCATCGATTTAATGCTTTAAGAGCTGCATCTGCTGCTCTAACATCGTAAAACTCGATAAACTTATGGTGTCGCTTGTGTGGTGTTTCCCTGATCTGCAGTTTTAGTACAAAATTAACACTGCTTCAAGCACTAGATATAAACTAAGCAATAGAAAAGGTGAAAGAGTCCAGATATTACCTCTTTGACCTCACCATAAACCCCAAATATTTGGCGAAGGTCGTCATTTGATACCGACGGATCTAAATTGAACACTACGAGGGTTCCTTGGTTTATATCTTTTTCCGAGGGGTTATCCTTTCAAAACCGAATAAAAGAGATGAATAACACAAAGGAAATGTTAATTATAATCCGTCAAACATTAAGTAATTCTATAAATCAAACCTTAGGAATTGAAAAATGAATATCAAGTTTCCTTCGTCTTAGGGGTTTGTTTTGTAAAGCACGCATTGCAGTGCGAGCAGCTCGTATGTCATAGTAAGATATCATCACGAAGCCCCTGTGCTTGCATGCGGTGTACAAAGTTCTGATATCCCCATATTGCTATCAAATAAGAAATAATTAACAATAGTGTCCAAAGATAAATATATATTGAAGCATTAGGCTAGTGTATAATACCTCAAATAGTGTTCTTAATTCAGAATCCTCAACGTTACTATTGATGTTCCGAACAAACAATGTCCTCGATGGATGCTCTCCGTAGGGATGCTCTCCGGCCACTGTTCCCACACCATTCGGGATAGCATATGGTCCAATACCATTAGAAGCAATTCCGTCTGATATGCTCATCTTTGAAACACCAAAACTAAGACTCTCTTGGGGTTCAAAATCCATTTCAAATCCACCTCCATTAACAAACAGATCGTTTTCATCCAAATCCTCCAGTTGATTTGGTAATCCGCTAAGGTCAAAATCGTCCATTATCCCAGCTAAAAGCTCGTCTTCGTCATCAGGTAGCATGTTTCCAATGGCGTTAATTTCAAAATTATCGAAAGGATCATGCCCCTCGTCTTCTTTATGAACTTTGTCTACTGTTAGCAAGTTATCATCCACCGGTTGACCATATTGTTCAGAATCAGTCAAATTTACTGCATATCAGCAAAACATTAAAATAATCACTTTTACTGATTCCATACTACTCTAGAAGAAAACAATATCTCAAAAAACTTACGATTTTCGTGCGGAAGAACAGGCAGCGAAGTAGAAAACAGGCTAACATCATTAGAATCTTGAAATACATCAGTTGCGTTCGGTATTCTCCATGCACTGCTTCCCACTTTATTTGGAATATTTAGTGACGAAATCCCAGACAGCCCTTTAAACACAAAATCAGTTAAAAACAAATCTTTATACAAATATTTTATTTTTATGTATGAAGTAAGAAGAAGAACCTGCAGTACCACGAGTTGGCAAAGAATCCCGGGAATGTTTGTCCATTATTTTCAGTCACTTTTCTAGTAATTTTGCAAAATGAGAAGAAACAAGTCAGACACCTTAGTATCAGTTAATATAAAACATCATAAAACTATACAAAAACTAATGTATCATCAACGGAAAAATTGTTACAAGAAGTAAACATGCAAAACATTTTAGTATTCCAAAAAGCGATAAAGATTTACTCAATAGTTTATCTCTTTTTTTTACTTTGTATCACTCATAGAAATCACCCAGTAGAGAGTCAAATGCAATCACTTGTATAAACTATAGAACATGCTTCTATCTAGAATCAACTTCTGCCAATTGCCATAATGTTCTATCCAGGACCATGTTACTATCCATTATCCAACTCTCCAAATTGTTAATCTCGAGATGTTTCTTAATAACTTCTCTTTTAGCTTTTCTAGGTCTCCATCTATCTCTAGTTGTTTGACTCTACTCCATCTGGTCTACTCTTCTTACCACATAATCTACATATCTTCTATCTAAATGTCTAAACCAACTAACTCTATTTTCTACCATCTTTTCTACTATAGGTGTTACCCCAAGACACTCTAATATTGTCATTTCTAATCTTATCATGTCTAGTCTTACCTTACCACCTTTGTAGCACTGACACCTCTAGAAAAAATCGTGTCTATGTCTGTGTCTAAAACCGACACCGCCACATGTGATGATTACGGTTAATTTATTCATTTTTTCAAATTATTAATGATATCAACGTGTCGGTATAGTGTTTCCGGCGTCTGTGCTTCATAGCTTACCACACATCCAACACAACATCCTCATCATCTCATCTCTGCTACAGTTACAAGAGTTCAATAAAATAGGTATAAAACACTCAGCAGCCAAAGCATTTTCCAGCTAACACAACAACATATATAATCAACTAACTTACAAACTATGCACTAAACTTTCACATAAAATCATCACCTCAATAACCATAACAACACATGCCAAAATAATATGCAACGCAAATTGGAGAGATCTAACCATTATAACAAAATTAATGCTAAAAAAATACTTAGTAGATGATGCATTTCAGAAAAAGCAAGCAAAAACAACATGATTAACTCAACTAAAGTTCCAAACCCAAAATAAAAAACTGCACACAAAGCTTAATTAACTTCCCTTCTACACCAGAAAAAAATTCCAAGAAATAAATAACAGAAAAATACAGTTGCTATGCTTCCCAGAAAATTTATCAACACAGACCCACCTAAAACCAAAGAACAAATTTTCTGGTAATTCATCAAAGCTTAAATTTTTGCAACCAAATAACGGACCCACTTGCCAATTAACCCGATCAAGCACAAAAAGACCGAATTTTTAAGCGAAAAAACAAATTTTGAGTCAACCCCAACACTTGAAAAACATAAATTCAAAAGAAGAATCAAAAGAGTAGTACCTTGTGAAAGAGTAGAAAGTGAAGAAATCAAAAGAGATAGAAGAAAATCATGGATGGATGATGATGATGATGATGATGATGATGATGGTTGTTAATATTATTGTAGTAATAGTAGTAGTTGAAGAGAGTTTGAGTTGATCACGGAAATAGAGAAGGTAAAGGAAAGGGAAGAGAGAAAGAGTTTACGTAGAAGCAGAGAAATCAATTCCTTCTACTCTTCTACTTCCTCTTGTATCGCCGGAAAACCAGAGGGAACAGAGTGAGAGAAAATTTTTCCCGGAAAATAATCACAAGAGAAAGGAAAAAGAAAAACAGGAAAATGATTGGAGGGAAGGAAGACAAGACAAGCACATGGGAATTAATATAGTAATTGTTTTTGTTAATGTTTTTTTTATATTTATAGATATATGTATATATAGATACATGTCATAGCAAAATAATAAATATTTTTTTAAAGAATTTTTAAATAAATTTAGTCAAAAGTAAATTATTTTTTTGATCAAAATATATATTTTATATTAATTATTAATTAAAGTGACGTGATCATTTTATGACTATCACAAAAATTTAGTCTTTTTAAATTAACATATATACTCAAAGACTCTTTATATTATTAAGTAATTATATAAAGCAACGTATTTTTGTTAAACATATAAAAAATCAACAAAAAAAATTAATATAATTGATCATAAAATAAAAAATATTTTTAAAAAATTTTAATTCATTTATTTAAATTAAAAGTATTTAAATAAGAGTTTTTTTTGTAAAACCTTTGTTTAATAATATAAAAAAGTTTGACTCGTATTCGGTTACATTTTTTTCTAAAATGATTTTTCCATAAAATATAATTTTATAATATTTAAAAAAATAATAATAATCCTAAAAAAATAAAATAATGAGATGATTAAATATTTATATAAAATTACTTATTTTATATGGGTAATATAAGTAAATTGAAGTATTTGTATAATATTATATTTTTTGGAATATTCTGCCAATTATGCTGTATTTGAATTGTATTTGGATTCCGTTGACACGAGTGCTTCATATTCAACACTCGTCGAGTTCTCAATTTTAAATATTTTATTATATTTCTACATGATATATATAATATTATTTTTGAATTTGTACCAAAAATTTATTTATTTTTATAAAACTTTAAAAAAGGAATGGATTTATCGGTATAATACTAAACAAAATTTGAATGCGAGTCTTTTTTACATCAATATAATGACAAATAAATAAATAAATAAAATATTAAACGATTTATCTTTTTAATATACTTAAAATAATTATGGAACAAATACATAAATATAAAAGAATAATAATTTTTTTATCAGAATAGGTGAGTGGTTGGAGACATGTCTACGGTCATCGAACGATTAACGGAAAAAAGAGAGTGTATCTGCAGACACTCCGATGTTTAAGTCAGTTTGAGTGAAGGGTAAGTGAGAAAGGTAAAGAATAGAATACATGACTCTCCTGTAGAGGAGGGTATTTATAGTGAACTTTCAGCGCTTGACTAATAGTCTTTGTTATGGGTCGAAAGCGCAAACTTATAACAGATGACTGTCAGGATTTTCACGTGAAAGTAGGGATGAGCAGCTCGTGCTCATTGTCCTGGGTCAACCGCTCCGCCTTTCCTAGATAGTGGATGATCATGCTCGTTATGAAGGGCATAACGATTTCGTCAATCACGCGAAGTGTGCAGGTTCGGTTGATGACGTGTCCTCTGGTGAGGAGCGCGTGGGGAACATGTTTTCCACTGGCCCCAACGGATTGGGTCAGCGCTTTGGGCCTTCCTCGACATAGATGCGGATTAGGCCATGTTGGACGCTAGGTCAGCCACATACCCAGTCCAGAACAGGAGCCCCCTTGCTCCTAGGCAGAGAAGCAATGACTTAGAGTCAGTTTGTGTGTCAAGGAGGAACGAAGGACTCAGCGCAACGCGAGCCTTCATTTGGTCTTGCGATTGTGAGCTTGCACTGCCGTAGACGGTGCTCGTCGTGGACGTTTCTTGTTTGTGCGTTTGCGCACACAGGGACGATATTCTGCTCGTAACTTGATGGATTTCACTTACGAGGAAAACGCGTTGTGCAAGGGTCGTGGTAGAGAGTTTAGCTTGCGCTCGCGTTGAGCGTTTACCTTGCTCGCGAGTTTTCACGTTGTTCATAGATTTGCTTTAAGTTTTTCTCCGAGGCCATGCTCGTGAGGGAATGTGAAAGTTCGTTGTTTGTGTTCGACGTCTTGGAATCCGAAAGGTTAATCGGACTTGAGAGGATAAATGTTTTGTCCCCTCAAACCACACGTCACAACTATCAAATGTGTAATGATGGCTCATGAATAGGGTAATTATGAGCCAAAACAGCGACACTTTTCTCCAAGCGGTGACACGCTTGCCCGTGTCGTGAAGAGAGTTTATAAATAGGAAGAATGGATGGACATTTATAACACCCTAAAATAATTAAATTATTTATTTAATTATTTCATTGTGAGTATTGTGACTTATTTGTGAGTTTATGTGATGTTTTGATGAATATGATGTGCGATGTGATGTTATGTGTGGTATAGTGGGAAATAAGGACACATTGGATATTTTAAATAATTTTAGATAATTAGAGTAATTATTTAAAATTATTTTAATTGGGAAAAATAATACGATGTAGAAACTATAAGGGCAAGGTAGTGAGTTGTAAGAGGTTAAGTGAGGGCAAAAGTGGAAGACCATATTAGGGGTCAAAGGGGTAAGTTTGACAAAAGGAAAAGGAGAGTGTCAGTGTTTTCATTATGTGCAATCGTGGAAATTGGGAAGAAGCGGTGAACAGGAGCTAGGGCAAGGAACTCAGAGGGATTCTGTACAACGCGGAGAAGGAAAGATCATCGTTGGGAAATCTAAGGTAAGGGGGTTATCATTATGATTATGATTGATATGGATTTTGGTATTTGTAGTTTTTTATATGGAGTTATGTTTAATAATAATATGATGATGATTTTGTTGGAATTTTATGCAATTGTGATGTTGTGTTACCACGAGTTGATGCATATGATGTCCACTATGATGTGTTGTTATTGTATGATGAAAGCATGAGAATTTATGATGAATTGGGATTTGTACTGATGTAAAATTGCAAGAAAATTGGACTGGTTCTATGCAGAAAATACAACAATAGAGTTGTTGTTTTCGCGCACTCGTCGGGCGAGCCTCCCAAGTCGTCGGGCGAAGCAACTTCGCCCAGACTTTGCAAGTCGAGAGTGAGGTAAGAGAGAGGGATGAGGTGTCTCGCTCCAGCTTTTCTAAGCGAAGCAGAGGCGAGCGCGAGCTCGCCGGGCGAGTGAAAAGTGTAAGCTCTCTAGTTTTAGAATTGACATTAATTATTGTAAAACAAATAAAGCAATAATATGTTAGATATGATACATTATTTGCTAACAGGAGCATGTTGAGTAAGAAGTCATATCTTATGTTTGGGATATGTTGAGTTGAAGTGTTTCGACATCTGGAACAACATGTCGAATAAGATGTCCCAGAAGAAGCATACGACATCGCGCCTGAGCTGACGTGATTATGTTAAATCTATTATGATTTAACAAATGC